TCCAGACGGGTCTGACCTCTTCCTCCTTCCCTTCCTCCCTCCCCCGGGTGGCGGTGGTGGGCCTGGGACACGGCCGTGGCTACGGCGGCCCGTCCGTGGGGTGGGAGTTGGTGTCCACGCAGTCACATCTCCGTGGGGAGGGGAAGAGGGAAGTGGGGAGTTGTGACCAAACGCATTCGGGAAGTCAGGTCAGATGCTGAAGCCCCTAAAGGGTGGGTAAGGTGTCACAAAGAGGTGTTAGAACAGGAGATTTTGGTTAAAACCCGTCGGGAAAGCCGGAGTTTGCACACACGTCGCTGTTCTAAACGGTAGAGAGAGAGGTACTGCATGAAGTAGCAAATTTGGCAGCAAATTTTAGAAGACGTAGTAGTCTCCAGGGTTTAGAGCATACAGGAGCTATAGACTGGAAGCAGGTTATTTCCTATCTGCTATAAATTTGGTAGGACAGAGGTATTCAGTATTGATTGCTGTGACAAAAACCCACTGGAGTGTGGAGATACTGAGTTTCATCCACTCTGATGATGTGTAAATTGTTTTATGCAAGGAGACAGTATTTTGCTGTACAAGAAGTTCTTGCTAGGTTCAGTGCAACCAAAAGTATGTGTTTTAAAGACCAGTTTAGATGTAAAAATTTAACATCACTATAAAGCCCTAGTCTTGAACTGAGCTGCGGTAGCACAGTCTGAGTGTGAGAGCTTTCATGAAAACCTCTAAGAAGTGTTCTGGATATTCCTAGAGAAAGCTGGTTTTGTGATTGTCCTTTCTGATGGGTTTACTGACAGGCTGGAGCTGAACAAGAGTGAGAGTATATTGGATTTGTTCAGAAAAGGAAACAGCTCTCACCAAAGATGTGGAATCCGGGACAGCTGATGGCAGAGAATAGAAATGTTTTACGAATCATGTAGATTTGAGTTTATGGTTGACTCCAGAGTTGGTTTGTGTGGATATAGATGGGGCTGCAGTGAATGAGAGTTGTTGAAGTCAAGATAAGATACCCATTTTCTAATGTGATATCCCCCATGGGCTGAAGTCTAATTGAGCCTCAAAAATATTACTTCCTCTTTTTAAACTTTAATCTTCTTTTAAGATAGATCAGAATAAACCTTGCAAATCCTCTAGAGGCTGAAGAGACTTAATCTCAGAGGCCCTAGTGGCTGTGAGCTGTTTTGTAGGGTTCTTCTGTGTAGGTTGAAATGCTGACTGGAGCCCAGCTTTGAAGGCAGGGTTAAAAATGATTGCTCGGCTGTTGCCCTGTTGTAATACAGTGCAAATTGTGCATTGGGCTCAACTTGGGGTATTTTTCAGGGGATCAAGATAAGCTCGTTGGTGCATAGTTGGTATTTCATGGTAGGCTTAATTACTTCTGCAATGGAAGCCTTTCTTGCAAACGAGATTGTGAGTTGGCGTTGCAAGAGCACTCTGACTAATTGCACTAGATGTGCTCTCCAGCTGCCCCAAGCTGGCTTGAAAGGCAGAAGCAGCAAACCAGATCTGTGGACACAGTGATGACTAGTGGGTAACTAATTATTATGCATGCAATAATGCTGAGGAGCATCTGCCACCCATTAGAGCCTATCGTACTTAGAGCTTTGCAAACGTGGAATAAAGCTGCTTTCTCTGCCCAAAATATGTTTGTGATCAAAGAACTTAGTCATCTTTGGTAGCTTTAAATTTATGATGGTTGTTCCTTGTTCTGTTGCCCTGTAGCCACAGCAGTGAAGCAGGGGACACAGAGCAGAAGGGACAAGCTGCAAGTCAAAACTCATGAGAGGGAGGACAGTCTCAGTTTTAGGAGCTGACAGAGATGGTTTGTCATATTGATGTTGCTAATGCATTTGTTTCGAATTTAAGAGCATTTTTATATGCCCTGACCAAAAGGTTTTGGGTTTGTTTCGGTTTTCTCTATATAACCTGGAAATATCTATGGAAAGAAGAAAAGTTTAATCTGTTGTTAGATGAACAACCTGAAAAAAATGATGTGAGCTCAGTATGAAGACAAGGCCTCGTAGTGCTTAAGAAATAGGTAAGAATTAACATGTAGCATGAAGTGAGTTGCAATATTAAGCAGGATGAAGGATACCGCATTACTTTTGTGTCTTCTGTTTGGATGTTAAAAAATATTCCAAATACACTATTTTTATCCCAAACTTGGCAGTTTTAATTCAAGTGGAAAACCTTGCGCATAACACTAATATTGAGCATTTTAAAATTATTTTGAAGTTTCCTATTGATGCATTGATATATACATGTAGCTTCCATTGCTTTCACCATTCATAGAGGTACCCAGGGCCTAATTAGAGTTTATGTATTTCATTATGACAGAGTTTTGTTGCGAGGGTGGGCAGGAAGGGAGGTTTGGTTTTGCTTTTTAAGCCAGCTGGCAATTACTTTCTAAGCCTTGTGTTAAACCACCAGATATATTCAAAGATTATTCATAAAAGCCACCTGCAAATCGTCTGTGGTTTCCCTTTTTCCTTTTCTTACCTTTGTAAACCAGGCAGGGGTGTGTTTTTCTTGAAGGGTGTCTGGCGAGTTCTTCTCTTTGTTCTCCTGAAAGATAAATGTGAAGATGGACAATTTTGCTACTTGTAATTTTGCAATACTTTGTATTTTGTTTACTTAAGCTTCCTTAATACAGAGTTTAACTGAGTTGGATCTTAGATCACTAGCCCATTAGCACTATGGCAAACTGCTTATGGTTGTCACCAGTTTAGTCTTTTTTTATACAGTCTGCATAAGATGAGGTATTTTCTCTTGCTTTCTCTCCATATTTGTGTCTTTTCTGTGGTTCGTAGTATTTCCCTCTCTTTCCCTTTTTGCAGGTTGAATGTATTATTTGCTGATTGATACTATGTTGACTGGAGAGAAAACAAGGTGCTCTGTGTTTTCTAAGCGGAAGTTTACATAAATTTAGTTATGTTTCTGAATAAATGATAATTTATTCAGATTTTTTTCAGAAATTTCAGAATATTCAGAAATTTTCCATGTGTGAAAACTCGTAACACAGTTTTTGATCAGATTTAAATGCAATGGCTAAGTTTTCTCATGGTAATGGTTTACTTTTATGTTTTGTATTCTTCCTCAAATTTATTTTTCTTTGATGCTTTTTTCCCAAAGACCACACGGTAGTTTTTCAGCTCAGGGTTAAAAGGGAAAGCTGTTCCCTTTGTTCCCTAGATTAATGTTATGAAGTCATACCACATTTTTCATCACTATTTGTTTGCCTCAGTGTCCTTAATCAAAGTATGTTTATAGGTTGCAAACTCTCCTTTGCATTCTCAAAATTAAAGATCTTACAAAGTATTACTATCATGCACACAACCATAGATTGTGTTCATAAGGATTATTGCTTGATAATGAAAACGCTGTCTTACCCTTATTTCCTTTAGACTTCCAAATTATCCACATGCTTACCCAGCAAGTTATTTTCATAACTTCTCTTAACTGAATATTTTTACTGTCCTTAATTTTTTTTTTTTTATCAGAATCTTCGTGCCAAATAAAATTTGGCTGCAAATCAGCAAATCCAACAGAGAAAACCCTCATAGTAAACATCAAATTCAGGGACTGAATTAAATTTCTACTTGTTCAAAATATAGAGAGAAAGACTTGGAAAGCTTGGAGGAAAATTTTGTTTGCGGTTTAGTAACTGAAACACAACTATTGAGGGCAGTGTGGCTTTTAGGTATGTTTGGAGAGTCACTGATGTGGTCTCAGTTCCCTCCATCCTTGGCTTTGTCGTTCTGCAGGTGGGACTGTGCAGTCTGTGTGTTGATTTTGGCAGGAACAACTTTGTGGAGTTTCCGATGTACATGTTTTCTAATGTAGTGTAAGTTTGTTCTTGTTGATTTAATGTTATCCAAACTATTTTAGGCTGTTGACTGCTGCCTTATTGTTGGCATGTGCCAGCACTGCAACGGATCCCGCCTGGAGATTAGTAACGCTGAAACAACAGTTTAATGAAAAGAGATCGATCCCTATGCGGCAGGAGTAGGATCTTGCTCGTTCCTGTTGAACAGAAAACACAAGTTCAATGAATTCTCCCCCCTCCGCCTTGTTCCATTGAAGACTAATGCAATTTTTTCCCTTTCCTTGCTAATTGACAGTGCCAAGTAAATACTTGTGATACAAGGGCAAACTTAATTCTTTCTGGTTCGTGAGAGAGCAATCGTAGAAAAATACATTCTAGACTGTATGTGTTCTTTCCTTCCATCCTCCTGTTCTTTCTCTGTCTCATTCTTTAGGTCTAGCCTGAGACATTGGAAAGATTATCATATATGCTCTAGTGACTTTATCCTTGCAACTGCTGCAAAACAGCTTGAGGTAGTTTTGATTGGTAACACATTGCTGCTACAGGTGTTTGTCAGTGGTTGGTTTTGGTTTTTTTTTGTTCTTGCAGTTGCTACTGCTGGATGCCCTGATAAAGAGAGAGAGAAAAGTTGGAATTTATCGGTATGTTCATGCATGTCCATCAAATTAAGACCATAGCAGATTAAGTACTGTAGTGATGGTAAACTCTGTAGATGATTGTTGGATTGGATTACACCTCTCGCCCTGCATGTGTAAATGTAGACTGACAGATACGTTCTAACCGGGCTTAAACGTATTAAGAGCTGGGAAAATCTAGTGTCTTCTGTAGCTTTGAGTATTTTCTGTGCTGTACTATATGACTAGAAGTTAACAACAAACATTGTTGCTGGACTCTTCTAATCAACCCAACAAGGGTGATTAAAATGCAGGTGGTCAGGACAGAATGAAACACAAACACTACTATCCTAAATGGCAGAAATAATTGTAGTGGTATTTTGCCTTTCTGTGGGCAGCACCTTGTAGGTCCAGCTCAGCTTTCTTGCCTCGGTCTGCTGCAGCTTACCAAAATAGTATTTACCCATGTGAGCTACATGCTGGGGTAGGTTGGGGGACCATCAACATACCATGGTTAGCGTTGTGATTCTGTACTCAATCTGAAAAACAGCTCTGACCAGGATGAAAAGTCATGCAGCTGAGTAGGATAATAATTCTAAACTATGTAAACGCCAACAGTGAAATTGGGCTTGTTAACTGGCCGGTCGTATTTCCGGAATCATACTGGTTTCGGTTAAAAACTGGAGTTGCAGACAAACTTGAATAGCTCTGCACTATTTTCTTCCCAATCTGCCTCGTGTTTGACCTCCAGGAGACAAGATAAATAAAAAGAAACCTCTCTCACCCACACCACGCTCTTGCCAGGAAAAGGGAAAGATCAAATCTTTACCTAAAATAAACTCCAGTGATGTGACAGCTGTTTGCTGTTTCCTTGCTGTTTGCGCTGGCTTTGTGGCTTGGTGTTTGTAGATGGAAGTTTCAGAGGGCAGTTTCTCCAATTTACTTTTCCACCCTCTGTACTCAGTGGCTGGGTAGTGGCATTATTACACTCATACTAAGTAGGACGGACTGTAGTGGTCCCAGGTGCTCTCACTGTTCTTGATGCAGTTAAGACAACGGGCAGAAAAGTTATGTATTTCTTCTCTTCTATCCTTATAACGTCCCGAAAGTTGTTGCTCAGTCGGAAGTTGTAGAAAATAACCTGGCTTTAAGTAACATTAACTCCCCAAGATAATATGTGATTGATGATTTGAGATGAATTAAAGATACCGATTGTAAGCCAGCTGCCAGATGGCTTGGCAGTAGCCGTGCTGTGTAACCGTGAATGTTGGGATCAAAAAAGGGAGAGCTCTGGGATTTTTCACATCCTTGCTTATCTCACAGTCGCTCTGCATAGATACGTCTACAAGATTTCCAGAGTATTCTGAAATCCCAAAATCAACTCAGCTTCGTTACTGGTAGACTTATACTGCAGATTATAATACCCCGTAGAGACTTCAGAAAACTGGATAGAGGGTTCACAAGAACAATTCCTTGGACCTAGTCCTAAATTCAGCGTTGGAAGATGTAACTGACCCTGACATAACTGATGCTGCATAACCGCTTTAAAGCTGAAGTAATGTCTGTTCCTAAGACAGGCTGCAGCCATATCCCCATTTTCTTTTTTTCCAGTGTCCTGCCTGTTGCTTGGTGTAGCTCTTTATATGCTGTGATTTATAGAGCACTTCTTTTAAACAAGCAAATAATTTCTTTCTATCACAGACCATAAAAGCTAAATGCTGGTTTGGGACTGTTATAAGAATAGGTACTACAGTCATGTCATTTGTAATGCTCCTTCATGCCATTTTGCACAGCAGTTAGGAGATATCTCTGAAATTAAAATTATAGGACCTTTAACTGTGTCACTGTTGACATCACCTGCTAGAAATCTTCAGAAGCAGGCATTTCTTATAATGTTGAATGAATGAATGCTAATGCTCTGTATTGTAAAATACAGTCTTTTGACTCTGTAGGGACTTAATGAAAAGGATTATTAGTTTTGTTTCCTCTTTTCAGATGGAAATGTCAGAAGATGATATTAATACAGAAGAATACCCCACAGAAATCCATGATTATCTTGCAGCATTTGAAAAATCTCTTGGTTCTGTAGATGAGATGCTGAAGACAATGATGTCAGTTTCCAGGAGTGAGCTTCTCCAAAAGGTAAATAATCTTCCTTTTGACAACCTTTTTGCTATTAATGCAAGAATACCTGGGAACCTGAACTGAAATAAAAGGGACTATGAGGCTGGCCACTGCACAGAGAACTAACAAATATGACGCTTCCTACCCTTGATACCTAATATTTGAAATTCTTCTATTTCTAAGATACCCAGACAGTCTTACAAACAAAGCAACGAAATATATGCTCTTCCAAGCTGAAAAGTTATGATTCTACCAGTGAGTCATTCAGGTAGAGGACACTCTAGCTTATTCCTGACCTTCCTGAAAGTGCATGCTGAGTGGTCTTTCATAACAGAGAGGTCATTCACGTTTTTGTCTGAAACCTTTTCACAACGAACTATACCCAGAACAAACTATACCCACGACTTGCTATACCCAGAGGATGTAAAGGTGAAGTGAAAGCAGTGAGAACTGATCTGATTCTAGAAGTCTAGGCTTGCAGAACCCGATGCTTGAAAACCTGAGCTGTCTCCTCCAGCTGTGTTACAAGCACAAGTCTGTAAAATGTGGGGTTTTTTCAGGGCATTAAGACAGAGCAAGGTACTGCCTGAAGACTTCACACAAGCCTCTTTATCTTTTAACATTTAAAGCCTAACACGTACTTCCTTTCTTTAGGGCAAGAAAAAGCCAGCACATGAGGGAACTTTCTTTATCCTCTGAGGATTTCTAACACAAATAAATTATGAAGAAAACAGTCTTGACAACCCTGATCTTTTGACAGTATCCATGTTAGAACTAGTGAGCTGTACAATGATGTTATCAGAGTTTCTGGAAATCCTATAGGACTAAAATAATAAATTGACTTTGACAGTCGAGGAAAAAAAACCCCTCATTACCTTTATTCTTCCTTTGCTTTACAGCCCTAAGTATTCCAGCATGCGTTGTGCACACAGTCTGCCATGTGTAGTGTTAATATTCATTGATTGTCTGTGGCACACTGTAGTCACCTTAGAGCTTCTGCGATCTTAAGACCTTTTTTTTTTGCCATGAATACTTGCAGAGGAGAGAATGGTTCTGTGACAGCAGGGAAACAGGCATAGCCATGGTCTCAGTGAACTTGCAGTGCAAAAATGTGCTCACTCAGTGTGTATTTTTTTACGAATACATTCACAATTATAAAATGTGCCTATCACTAAAATCTTAAGTGCTTAAAACTGTACAAATGTAGTGTGTTTTGTTTTTTTTTTTTCATTCTAGTTGGAGCCTCTTGAGCAAGCAAAGATGGATTTGGTTTCAGTGTACACATTAAATTCCATGTTCTGGGGTAAGTATGTGGTAGGAGGAAAACGTAGTATTTATGATTGCCATTTGAACACCTTGTAGACAGCTGCAACCATTAAATAATCGTATTTCATAGCCAAATAATTAGAAACTTGTAATTACCCTGAGGACCCAGATTATTGCCATCTGTAAGATAAATGATGTTGAAACTCCAAAGCAAAAATTGATATTTACAAAGCTGACTTTGTACATGTGTGAGAGTGTTTCTTTCTGGTTTTTTCTGTCCTTTTCTGTTCAGCCTTTTCTGTCTTTTTAACTGAAAGCTAGATTTTTTTTTTCTAACTGCAATATTTGACGGTCATCCTATTGTCACCGGTACCAAGGGGTCCCCAGACGCTGTTACCCGCCGGGAGGCGACAAGCTCCGCCCACCCAGGTCACACGTGTGCGGCCACGCCCGCCCAACCGTCCTGACGTCACCGCTGCGCGCCGCAGGAGGCCCCGCCCCCTCGTCGCTTTTCCCCGGCCGCCCGGAGGTAAGAGCGGCTCCTCCCGTCTCTCCCCGTGTCCTCATCCCACGCGTGGGGGCT